CCTCAATCTCCCGAGTAGCTGGGATTACAGGTGTGTGCTACCACATGCAGTTCAGACATGCAAGATGTTGGCAAATTTATCTTCCATGTACTCCTAGGAAACTCCAGGAGGTCTTTTGCCATCAAAAAGAAGGAAGGGGATACAGCACAAAATGGGATGGAGACATGGGATCTGGGAAACAGGCAATTCAACACAGGAAAGAGGCAAGGGAGTCCCCCCTGACCAGTGTAATAGGAGGTTCCAGGACAGCAGCATGCAGCAGGCTCCCAGAGCAGGCTCTAAGGAACCATCCCAAGAACACAGTGAGAGGAGATCTAGATAGCTGGCAGAATTTAGGTGATAAGAGCAATTAGTGATAAGACCTTAGAAACATAAGTGCATGGAAAAACAAGATAATCAAAACAAAAAGATATGTTTAGAAAGGAAAAGCAATCACAGTTGACTATGCAGCCTAGCTGCCACTGGCATTTACGTTGTCATAATAACAAACACTATATTGATCGACCAAAAATTAAACTATAACTCAACTGGGAGTATTGTGACACAAGGAGGGTATATATGTGTAGAGGGGGCTAGTAGAAAAAAAAAAAGAGCTAATTCCTCATCTCCCATAGTGGGAAGTCCACAGATAAATCAGGAAGTAATGCTATAAACATGTCATTTAGAGATAAGTAAATTCCAAAAGAATTAAACAAGTTGAAAGTGGTTCCTCTAGGGAAAGGGAAATGGGGTTGGGGGGTGGGTGGTAGAGAGAGAGAGGCTGAGGACCTCTCTTTGTCTTAACAACCCTGTAGGACTAGTTCACTTTTTAAACCAGCTGCCTGTATAACTTTGGTAAAATTTAAAATTAAAAACATGGGTGTGATGAAGGGCAATGAAACGAATAAGTTAACGCCAGCACACAAACAGGTGCTCCCCATGTGGGTGCCCACCTGCTAGTGCTTGGGTTTTATGAGTGGCCGTGGGTCACGTACAAATACACGCATGAAGGCTCTTCCATTTGGGAAGCAGCACAGGGCTGATTCCACACTGCTGACTACTGTCTCAGGAAGTCACTTAGTTGTCTCAACTCAAGAAACCAGACTCAAGGAGTGAAGGCTTCACAGGCAAGTTGTCAATCAGTAGAAAATCTGAGCAGGCCTAATCTATAGCCGTCGGCTTCAGGTTCTAATCTGAAGAACAGTAAAAGGTAGACTTGTAGTGAGGGGCACAGAAAAGCACAGGGTCCGATAGGGACAACAGACTGTGGCCCCAGCAGCATGAAAAGAATGAGAAGGAGGTCCCACAGGGCAGAGCAGGGCTGCCGATGGGCTGGCTAGTGCCCCAGGTGTCCGACTTTGTACTGTGGTGTGTAAAATCTCAGTGGAGACTGGAGTTCCTGCTTCAGCAAGTTAAAGTGGTAACTCCATGAGGTGGCTTCTGAGAGTGCGTTTTTTTTTTTTTTTTCGTCAGCTAACGCCAGTAGGAGCAGCAACAGAATGCAGTGCCAGATCTCAGATCTCTGCTCTGAGACCAGTCTTATTAGAAAGCGGAGACAAACCACATGCCAGGAGAACTCATGATACAAGGTGTAGTGTGGAAGAAAAACACCTCAAACTAGCAATGAAAGGCACCCCGAAGGGAATAAAAACACCCAGAGTCCCAGATCCCTTCTCTGCCACTTCTAGCTTGTGACTCTGGGTAAGTCACTCATCCTCAAGGCTCACTTTTCACTTTGGTAAAAAGACTTGACTAGATGCTGTGGAAGGTCTTTCCTGTAGTGTGAGAAAGTAAACACCCTGAGGGCAGAGACCTTGTCTGTCTTATTCATTGCTCTGTCACCAATACCTTGCCTAACACATAGCAGGTGTTCAGTATTTCTTAAAAGAATGCATGGGAGGTAACATCAGTTTATTGGACTCTTAATTCTGGAAAATCACCTGAGCCAATGCATCTTTATTTCTTTTGTGATACCAGGGATTGAACTCAGGCACTATACCACTAAGTTACAACCTTAGCCCTTTTTATTTTGAGACAGTCTCTCTAAATTGCTTAGGGTCTGATTAAGTTGCTGAGGCTGGCCCCAAACTTTGCAAACCTCCTTCTCCAGCCTCCCAGGTTGCTGGGATTACAGGTGTGCACCACCATGTCTGGCTTGCCAGTCAATACTTTAATTTCACAGGTGAACAAACAAAAGCATAGTGAGGTAGGGGTAGGGGAATGTGTTTTTAGTCATCAGAGCTAAGCAGGAATGGAACTGAAACTCAAGTTCCAACACTGCGGGAGATCAATTGATGGTAAGTCAAAGACTGGGAAGGAAAGACCCACATCTTTGAATATGTAAAGAACTTCAGGGCATCAAAGAATTCTGAAATAACTAGTGACATTTAGCAGGGGAGCAGGACATAGTAAAAAGTGTACACAGTATCTGGGTTTAGTATCTGCTCCCTACCTGTGTGACCCTGGGCTAGCTACCGAATCTCTACTTTCTTTTCTAGAAAACAGATAGTAATGGCATCTATTTTATATAGTTTTATTAGAATTAAAGTTAGATGTAGTATGGATATCTTGCTCACTACTTAATTAACATAGCTTGTTAATAATAGTTGGTCCAACCAGGTAGTTGTCACTTTGAAAATCAAATGAAATACCTTGAAGAGTGTTAAGTTTTGATAAATTAGGACAGAAGGAAGAAGAATCTAGATGAGCACACTGCCAGGGCCAGTCCTAAGTAGTCAAGGGCAGGTAACACCAAGGCTAAGCATGACAGGGACAGCTTGAGAGCCAGAAGCCAGATTCCACTAGGTGACTGGGAGAACATGGTAACCCTCCTGGTCTGTTTCTTCATCTGTAGAGGAGAGTTAATAACATTCCGTCTGCTAATGTGGAGGCAGTTGTAATGTCATGTGAGACTGTGATATGAAGAATTTTTAAGAATCATTAATCACCATCTCCACAAGTGGGGAATTATCATTCCTTTATAACAGTATAAATGAGGGGACAAGGAGGCACACTTATAAGGTTTATTAGAATAAACCTTGCCCTTTGTTATGGAATGAATTGTGAGTTACCCCTCACCCACCCAAATTCCTATGTTGAAGCCCTAACTCCCAGTGTGACTGTATTTCAAAGATACGACCTTTAAAGAGGTAATTAAGGTTAAATAAGATTAAAAGGGGAGCTGGGGATGTGGCTCAAGTGGTAATGTGCTTGCCTGGCATGCATGGGGCGCTGGGTTCGATCCTCAGCACCACATAAAAAAAATAACGATGTTTTGTCCACAGAAAACTAAAAAATAAGTATTAAAAAATTCTCTCTCTCTCTCTCTCTAAAAAAAAAAAAAAAAAAAAAGATTAAAAGGGTGAGGCCCAGATCCAACAGGACTGTGTCCTTATAAGAAGAGGAAGAGACCCAAGGGATGTACAGAGAAAAGGATATATATTTTTTAATAGTTATTTTTTTAGTTGTAGTTGGACACAACACCTTTATTCCATTCATTTATTTTTATGTGGTGCTGAGGATAGAACCCAGGGCCCGCACATGCTAGGCAAGCGCTCTACCGCTGAGCCATAATCCCAGCCCTGAGAAAAGGATATTTGAGGACATAGTGAGAAGACAGCCACTGGCATACCAAGGAGAGAGAACTCAGAAGAAACCAAACCTGCTTGGACTTCCAGCTTCAGAACTGTGAGAAATACATTTTTGCTATTTAAGCCATCTAGTCTATGGTATTTCATTATGGTGGCCCCAGCAGACTAATACACTTGCCTTACACAGTCCAACCTTTCTAACTTCTATTGCCTACCCAGAATGCTTCCTGTACCTTATTTAAATCCTAACATCCTACACGGTGTGGTAGGCAGCTTCTAAGATGGCACTCAATGATTGCCTCTTGGTATTCACATCATTGTAGATAAACTGAACTTAGTGACTTACTTCTGATGAGAAAGATACAGATGTTCCTCAACTTACAATGAAGATACCGATAAACCTATTGTCAATGGGAAATATCATTAAGATAAAATACATTTAAAACACCTAACTTACCTAACATCGTAGCTTAGCCTAGGCTACCTTAAATGTTTTCCAAATACTTACATTAGCCCACAGTTGGGTAAAATCGTGTAACTACAATAAAATCATGTAACACAATAAAATGTTGAATATCTCCTGTAATATATAGAGTAACTACACTGAAGGTGAAAAACAGAATGGTTGTTTGGATGTGTTTTTGCACCATTGTAAAGCTGAAAAATTTTAAAAAAATTGTAAATCAGGAATGGCATATATAGTGAAACTGATAGGATGTCACTTCTGAGATTAGGTTGCAAAAGGACTGTGTTCCATCTGGGACACTCTTAACTCTTTCTTAAATTTCTCCCACCTGGGAAGGCCATCACTAAGTCTTAAAGAAGCCCGGTGGAGAGTCCTGCAGCAGGCCTGTCAAAGTCCACTTCAGTGAACTTGAAATTGGATTCCCCTCAATCCAGGATGAGCTTTTAGGCTGGCTTTGAACTCATGATCCTCCTGCCTCAGCACCCAAGCTAATGAGATATAGGCGTGCGCCACTGCGCCTGGCTAGGCTAAGAGTTTGACTGCAACCTCATGAGAGACCTTGACCCAGAGGCACCCAGCTAAGCTATACCTGGATTCTTAACCCACATAAACTGTTGGACAATACATGTTTATTCTCTAAGCCACTTAATCCAAGTAATTTATTATGCAATAGACAACCAATACCCAACATGGGGTAATATGTTACACAGCAATATATACCCAATATACAAAACCTAGTTCAAACCACTCCCCTGAATTTTCCTTGACTGAGCCTTGCCCAGAGCAACTTAGGCCTCATTTGAACTTGATAACAGACATTCTTCCCGTTGGTCATTTGGCACGTTGGCAGCATCACTTTCCTTCCATCCTCTGTGTTTCAGTAGCAGCTTAAATTTTTTTGTGTTCCTGTTCAGGGGTAGATATCTGAGCAAGCAGAAAAAGAGGCAGGCTTTGAGAGATCAGAATAGTAGAAAGGGGCTTTTTATTCATATTGGGTAGCTGATGAATGACTTGTAAGTGGGCAACTGAAGTGAGTGATACAAGATCGACAGCTTGGGAAAAGCTGATTTTCAGTCTGCATCAAAACGAGACAGCAGTGGCCAACACTAACAGCAATCCTCTTTGCAAATTCTTTCTGGCGATTTCCTCCTTATTGTGTGAAGGGTTTAGCCTTGGGTTGGCAGTGGTGATAGGCAGCAGAGAGGGCAGCTCTAGGACACGGGGGTCACTTTGGAGGAAGGGAAGCTGATTGTTTTCTCAGGGCCCTTTCTCTCAAGTTTTTTCTTTTCAGGGCCTTGGTCTCGCAGGACTGTGCTGAAGCCGGTTTCCTACACGTAGCACCCTTTATTTAAAACACATACCACATATACACAACAAACCAAATGCAAAGGAAAAAGGAGGAAAAAAAAGTCTGCTGAAGAACAGAGTCACTAAGAGTTCAGGCTAAGAATAGACAAGGAACTCTGAGAGCTGCTCGGCTATGTGACCTCCTGCAGGGGCCTGGCAAGAAGCCCAAGGCAGCTTTGTTTTTTCTTCTCTTTTACAAAGAAAGAGCACTGGCTTGGGAGTCAGAAGACCTAGGTACCAGGCTTGGCTCAGCCAGGGCCTCTTTCTGTGATCTTGGGTTAGTCCTTCTTCCCTCTGGGCCTCAGTTTCTCGTTTATAAAATTAAAGGAGTGAACTAGACTCCAAGGTCTTTCCAACTCCAACACTGAGAGGACACAGAGGCGTAGGATGCTGGCTGGCCAGGGAAGAAGGAGACCTGCCTTCTCACCCCAGCTCTGCCACTAGTGAGCATGATCTCTTTGGGTCTCTGCTTCCTCAGCTATAAAATAAGATGGTTACGGTCATTCATCCAGTCCTTTAACAAATATTTCCTGAGCACTTTGTATGTGTCAGGAATGGTGTTAGAGACTCACTCAATGGTGAGTCAAACCAGATGTGGTCCATGTTCTCATGGAATTTCCAGTTTGTTAGGGGTGGAAGGGAGAAAGAAAGATAAGTTGTGATCAAACAATCACCCAATTGAAGGTGTAATTAATGCCATGGTAAGTTCAATAAGGGAAGGATCACACTTAGTTCTCAGCAAACATGAGATAGCCATAATCTCCATCGATTCCAGTGCTCCGTGAGCCAACAGACAGCTCTACTGGGAGGCACAGAGAAACGCTCTGAAGAGCTCCCATCTATATTCGGGTTTTCTGTTGGGCGCGGTGGTACATGCTTGTAATCCCAGCATATAAGGAGGCTAAGGCAGGAGGATCACAAATTCAAAGCCAGCCTTAGCAACTTATTGAGGACCTAAGCAACTCAGTGAGATGCTATCTCTAAATAAAATTAAAAAATTTAAAAAGGGGCCTGGGGATGTAGAAGTGCCCCTAGGTTAAATTCCTGGTACCAATAAAATAAAATCAGTTTTCTTTTCTTTTCAGATTGGCACAGCTTAATCCAATCCACCCACAATCATCTACTGGGAACCTCCTGCAGAAATCAACCACTTAATTCCTGTCTTCCTGGAGTTTACACCAGTGGGTAGAAGGGACTCACAAATTGATATAGCTATAAAATGTTTCACACCATTCTCTGATTGCTAATTGTATGTTTCAAATAATAATGTTTATGAGTTAAGAATTAAGTGGAGATTTGGATGCAGTAGGGCAATTAAAAATATTTTCTAAGAAACAGAAATTGAGTTAGGTCCTGAAGGTTTGCTGCATAGTTTTAGATAAACCGAAACAATGGGGCAATGGCCCCATTCCCTATTACTAGATAGTATTGGTATTTGGGACATATAGGAGATATCCAAAATGAGAGACCCTAAGTACTCTGTTGGGGCAGTAAGATTTAAGCCCCACTTTCTGTCAAAGAGCAGAAGATCTCTTGTGTGACCTAATTTGAATACTGTCCCTTGGATTAGGAGGCGTGCTCCTAATGGGCTTTGACTTGGGGCAGCCACCTCACCTATGAATCTGTTATCTCATTGTAGAATGAACAAGTGAGATGATATCCAAGGTCTCTTAGAGTACCCAGAAGGATGGCTAAAACTTAATTATTTGAAAGACTTTTTAATATTTTTATCATAAAATTGATGGTTGCTACTATGGAATATGACTGTGGGATATTAAGTTTTCTGAACCTGATATACTTTATTTTATAAGTTAATTTTTAAAATAAAAAAGTAATACATGTGCATAGTTCTTTAAAAAATCAAACACCACAGAAAACCACACTATAATGGTTATAAAAATTTCTGTTTGAGATGGTAAATAGGTTTTAGAAAATTGTGACTGTTGGGGCTGGGGTTGTGGCTCGGCGGTAGAGCACTCGCCTCGCACGTGCGAGACCCTGGGTTCGATCCTCAGCACCACATAAAAAAGTAAACAAGGGAAATAAAGGTGTTGTGTCCAACTACAACTAAAAAGTAAATATTTAAAAAAAGAAAATTATGACTGTTAGCACAATATTATGAATATAATTAATACCATTTAAGTGCACACTTTAAAAGGGTTAAAATAGGAAACTTTATTACATACACATTTTTATCATAATCTTCAAAAGTTAATCTGACATACCAAAAACTATTGAATTGTACATTTTAAAAAGGTCAATTGCAGGGTTGGAGATATAGCTCAGTTGTTAGAGTGCTTGCCTAGCATGCACAATGCTCTGGGTTCAATCCTCAGCACCAAAAAAAAAAAAAAAAAGGTCAATTGCATAGTTTGTGAAATAAATAAATACATATATATACACATTTGTGACTGTTTGCACAATATTGTAAATATAATTAATATAATTAATGCCATTTAAGTATACATTTAAAAAGGGTTAAAATAGAAAACTTTGATTATATATATATATATATATTTGTTTGTTTTGTACCAGGAATTGAACTCAGGGGCACTTAATCACTGAGCCACATCCCCAACCCTATTTTGTATTTTATTTAGAGGCAGCGTCACACTGAGTTGCTTAGCACCTCGTGGTTGCTGAGGCTGACTTTGAACTCGAGATCTTCCTGCCTCAGTCTCCCCAGCTGCTGAGATTACAGGTGTTACACCACAATGCCTGGCTTGTGAAGTATATTTTAATAGGAGTTTATTCACTACCCATGCCTAGATTTTCTGGTCCCCTTCTTCAAGGCAAATTTTTTTTGTCTTCTGGAAATAGTCTAGGCATAAACAAGTATTTCTTAAGATCTCTCCTACCTTTTAATACAAATGGAAGGAAGTAATATACTGTTTTTTTACTCTGCCTTTTTACTTAAAATATTTCTTAGGTTGTTGTGTATCAGTGCATGCAGATTACTTCATCCTTTTCTACCTCTACACAGAATCTACTGTAGGAACTTATCCATTTATTTAATTAGGCTCCCTTATTAATGAACATATTGATTGTTTCTAGTCTTTGTAGGAAACTGTTGCGGTAAACATCCTTGCACTTATGGTCGTAGGCACATTCATGAACATATTATGTATAGAATAAAATAATTCTGGTGTTGTGGGGTCAAAAGGTTAGTGTATGTTAAATGTTATTATTGCTAAACTGACTTCCTTAGAGTCTATGCCAATTTACAATCCTATCAAGAATTCATTTGATGAGTTTTTCGTTCAACCAATATTTGAATGTCTACAGCGTTCCAGGCATAATTCTAGGCCCTGGGGACACAGAAAATGAACAATAATAACAATAACAAAAAGACAAAATCCATTTCCTAATGGAGTTTACAGTCTTATGCGGGTAAGGACAAACAGAAAAATAAACTATGTGGCATTTCAGGTGGTATTAAATGATATAGCTAAAATAAAGCAGAGAAAGAGTGTTGGCCAGGGGTAGGGATTTTTTTTAAGATGTGACCTTCCTATGTTGGCCAGGTTGATCTCAAACTCCTGGGCTCAAGCCATCTTCCTGCCTCAGCTTCCCAAGTATCTGAGAGTATAGGCACAGGCCACTATGCCTAGACACAGTTGGCAATTTAAAAAGGGTGATTAGGGTATGAAAATGCTAAGCCTCAGTTTCCTTATTTGTAAAGTAAGACAATAATAGGACAAATGTCATAGGACTGTTGAAAGAATTCAATGAGATAATGTCTGGAACATAGTGAGCATTTCATAAATGGCAGCTATTCTTATTATAAACAACCTTACAGTGGAGGAAGCTGTGGCCCACAGAGGAACAATTTGGTCCCAAGGAAACAGGGTCCCAGAGAAAATTTGTAGTTGTGTAGCAACCAGAACTCAGGCCTTCTGGCCCTCCAGGCCACGCACTTCCATATACCAAGAGACCTAAAGCAATAAGAAGCCATCTCCCAGGGCTGCTCATGGTCAACATGGTTTTCAGTTGAAGAGTGCTCTCAGAAGTGGGATTTTCAACATGTGCAAGAAGGGAGGGGAAAAGTGGGAGAACACAAGGTCCTTCTTCAAGGAGAAGCAGGCCACTTCACTCAGGCCGAAGGCTGAGCCTGCTGGGGTTTACTCACAAGATGTTCACTTCCAGGATGGTGCTCTCAGCCAAAGGCAACAAGCTTTCTGGCTGCTGCTGGCCCATCTGCTCTGATGAGACTCTCCCAAAGCCTGGACTCCCATTGGTTTCATTCCAAGGAATCTCCTGGAGGAAAGATAAGCAGCACTTAAGTCACAGCTGTAGAAATAATAAGATCCGAAGGGACACTTGTATCTGTTTGGCTGAGTGAGATTTTTCAAGTAAGCCAAGTATGTGGTGGTGGTGGTGTGGTATCTCTTGTCTTTTTCTTACCCCGTGTCACCTCCTTTTCCTGTCCAATGTGAGATACCTACTGTATCTTTGGGTCTTCTGCCTATACAGAGCCCTTTCCTTACCTGGGTTCTACCCTTCTTTTGGTCTTATCCTTCCTTCAATGAGAGTATCACAGCCTCTATTTCTCCTAACCCCTTCTTTGGAAATAGATATTTTTAAAAAGAAGACGCTTTCTGGCTTAATATGGTCAGTATGGAACACATTTGAGGCTTGACCTCTGTTAATAAGTGCCTGTATGAACTGAGGGAAATCAATGACCTTTTCTGGATCTCAATTTAGCTAAAAAAAATGCTGAATATCAAGTACCAGGGAGTAGATTTCAAGTACCATGGAGCAGATTTTTCTGCAAAAAGAAAACCCAACCTAAAGACAAAAAAAAAAAAAAATACACTAATAGCTGGGAGTAGTGGCTCACACCTATAATCCCAACTGCTCAGGATGCTGAGGCAGGAGGATCACAAGTTCAAGGACAGCCTGGGCAACTTAGGGAGACACTGTTTCAAAATAAAAAATAAAAAGGTCTGGGGATGTGGTTCAGTAGAGCACTTACCTAGCATGTGAGAGGCCCTGAGTTTAACCTCCAGTACCACAATAAACAAACAAATAAATATGAAGCCTTCCTCCTTTAAAAATTAAAAGTATTCAGCAAAGTCGTGCCACCAATGGCAGAAATTCAATGGATGCACCAAGACCTAAATGCACTAAAATGCTATTAAGGAAAGGTATTATGTGCATCTATAGCCAAATGATCTTCAACAAAAGTGCTATTCCTCATGTAGATGTTGGATATCTACATGAGGAAGAATGAAACCAGACCCTTAGCTCTCACCACATACAAAAATCAACTCAAAATGAATTAAAGACTTCAGTCTTACAAGTGCTGATGAGGATGTAGAGAAAAGGGAACCTTTACACATACCATCGATGGGAATGTAAATTTGTTCAGTGACTATGAAAACAGTACGGAAGTTCTTTGAAAAATTAAAAATAGAATTACCATATGATCCAGTAAGCCCACTACTAGGTATATAGCCAAAGGAAATAAACTCAGTATGAAGAGACATCTGAACTCCCATGTTTATTGCAGCACTATTCACAATAACCAAAAAATTTAAACAACCTAAGCATCTATCAATGATGAATACAGAAAATATGGTATATATATATGTGTGTGGGGGTAATATTATTCAGCCATAAATAAAATGAAATCCTTTCATTTGTGACAACATGAATTGAACTGGAGGTTATTATGTTAAGTTAAATAAGCCAGGCACAGAAAAGCAAAAATCAGATGCTCTTTACTCATAATTAAAATCTAAATTGATTGATCTCATAGAAGTTGAGAAGAGAATAATGGTTATCAGATATTTTGCTCAACTTTTTTGCTGCTGTGACTAAAAGATCTGACCAGAACCATTTTAAAGGAGGAAAAGTTTATTTTAGGGCTCACGGTTTCAGAGGTCTTAGTCCATAGAAGGCCGGCTTCATTCCTCAGGGCTGGAGGTGAGGCTGAACATCATGGCAGAAGAATGTGGCTCAAGGAAGCAGCTCACATCATGATCAGAAAGCGGAGAGGGAGAGAGGGACTCTACTTGCCAGATACAAAATATATATCCCAAAAGCACACCCCCAGAGACTCACTTCCTCCAGCCACATTCTACCTGTTTTCAGTCACCACCTGGTTAATCCTATCAGGAGAGTAATACACTGATTGGATTAAGGCTTTCACAGACTGATCTTCTCTGAACCTTCTTGCATTGTGAGCTTTTGGGGGACACTTCACAACCAAACTGTAACAACAGAGGGAGGGAAAAATGAGGTTAAGTGGAGTGGGGAAAGGTTATTGAATGGGTCCTAAATTATAGTTAGGAGAAATTAATTTGTCGTTCTATTATACAGTAAAGTGATTTTATATATATATATATATATATATATATATATATATATATATATATATATATAATATACTGTATATTTCAAAAAACTAAAAGAAAGGATTTAAATATTTTCACCACAAAGAAATGATAAATGTTTGATGTGTCACTTAAAAAATATACAAATGTATGTATACGACTTTTTAAAAAGAAAAAATGTGTGTTCTAATGACCAATGTCTGGTGAATGCCATCCAGTATCCAGGTTTTGTAGTGAGCAGACTTCATTGAAAGGGAAAATCCAGACCAGCTTTGGACCATGCCATCTCTACTCTTGACAGGGGAATGTAAGAAGTAGAAGAAGCTTTGGCTCTGATCACCACTTAGATACTTAAACATCAAGGTGTACAGCTAACTGCTTAATTTGTAAGAGGAAAAATTAGGAACAATGAATCAGATTGATAAAAAGGGATCTTGAATTCAAGTTTGAGAAAGTTCCCTAAGAATATCTGGAAAGATGTTATAGCACTTCTGTTTAAACTGGGGACAATTACCACTGACAGATGAAATGCCTGCTGGACTCATTTGAGAAAACTTTAAAATCTTAGTTACTGTCACACACACTATCTGGCAAGGAGCGTCTCTGTTCTTCTCCTCCCACCCCCATCCCCAGTACTAGAAATCAAACTCTAGGCCTCAAGAATGCTAGGTAAAAGCTCTACTATTGAGCCATAACCCCAGTTGGCATCATGTTTTTAACTTCACCCAGAGAGAAAGGCATGGAGCAGCCTATGGGGTTGACACTTGGGATTCTGAATTCTGAAATAACCTACGATCATTACTGCATCATCATTCCTGCCTAAAACCACTATGTCATACTATATGCAAATGCAGACACAGATTTTCCATTCAAAGGTACTTAAGATATCACAGACAATCTGGACTCCAAACTTTTCATCTTTGATGCTTTGCAAGTTTGAGTCTTGCAATATCATTGTATAGCAAAAGCCGTTGTAGACACTTAAGTATTTTGGTTGGAAAAATTTACCAAGCTTGCTTAGATCCCTGTCCCCTGCCAGGACACCAATAAGTCAGACCTCCAGAGTCAGTGGTGCATCCCGGCAGAGAAACACTGAAGGAGGACTGGCACTGTTGTCATGGAGTTTTCAGTGACTTTCCACTGAGCTGTGGGAAAATTTGACAGTTGACTGTAGCTGAATCACAACCCAGAGGTCCTGACCACTCAGATCTTTGAAGATTCCTTTCATTCCTTTCCCAAAATGGGAACCTGGCAAACTCCAATTGGTTAATTCCATTTACCTTCTGTTTCTTTCAATCACGTACAGGTATAGAGTTGCATGTTCTCGATAGTGGCAAACGGCTATCAGAATAATAGCATCTACCATCTGTAATTATAATAGTTTATATTTATCTATTATTTACTGTATCCGGCACTTTTATTTGAACCGACGCAATCACCTAGTGGAGTATTTACATTATTATCCCTAGTTTACAGATGAGGAAATCAAGGGCCAGGGAGACTAATAGAGAGACTATTAACTTGCTCATAGCTTGGGTGTGAGGTGCTGAGATTTAACCTAAGCATTCTAGCTCCAGAGCCTGTGTTCCTAAGCACTATGTCATATGATATGCAAATGTGGACACAGATTTTCCAAACTCAAAGTTACTTTGGATATCACAGGTCACCCCCTAGATTTTGCAGCTGAGAAAACAGACCTAGTGAGACAATGGGAATTACCTAGTGACAGAGCCAGGATTTGAAGAAAGACTCTCACTCCACAGTTCAGTGCTTTCTCTACTGTGTCAGAATGCCTCAGGTTTCTGCATCATCTTGAGAATATGGAGTTGGAGTATTTTTTAAAATACCATATCCCTTATTCTTTAGGGGAGGGAATTCCTATTTATATAAACATAAAATATTTTCATATAGCTTTCCTACAATATATTGATTTTCCAATTCTTCCCCATTTTCTTTTTTGGGGGGTGTGGTTGGCTACCAGGGATTGAAATTAGGGGCACCACTGAGCCACATCCCCAGCCTTATTTTGTATTTTATTTTGAGACAGGGTCTCACTGAGTTGCTTAGCGTCTTGCTTTTTACTAAGGCTGGCTTTGAACTCACGATCCTCCTGCCTCAGCCTCCCAAGCCACTGGGATTACAGACGTGTGCCACCACACCCGGGCACCCCCTCCCCTGACCCCTTTTCTTATTATAGACTTTTAGAGCATTTTAGGTTCACAGAAAAATTGAGTGGACAGCACAGAGACATTCCATATACCCCCTGCCTTCATACATGCACAACCTCCCCCACAACCAACATCCAGCAGAACAGGAATGTTATAATTAATGAACCAATATGGACACTTCATTATCATTCAAAGTGATAATGGGTTCACTCTAGGTATTCTAGGTACATTCTATAAGTTTTGACAAATGTAAAGTGACATGTATCCATCTATTATAGTATCATATGGAATAATTTTATGACCCTAAATATCCTGTCTGCTCCACCTATTTATTCCTCCCTTCTCCTAAGCCTCTGGCAACCTCTGATCTTTTTATTGTCTCCATAACTTTGCATTTTCCAAAATGTCATATAATTGGAACCATTCAACATGTAGCATTTACATTGGGCTTTAAAAAAAAAACAACAAAAAAAACAACCCAGGGCAGTTAACCTCTGAGACACATCTCCAGCCCTTTTTGAATGTTTTATTTTGAAATGGGGTCTCATTAAATTGCTTAGAGCCTCACTAAATTGCTGAGGCTGGCTTTGAACTCGTGATACTCCTGCCTCAGCCTCCTGATTATAGGCGTGCACCACCACACTTGGCTCATGTTGGATTTTTTTTACTTAGTAATAGGGATTTAAGGTTCCTCCACATCTTTTCATGGATGAACAGCTCATTTGTTTCAGCATTGAATAATATGCTATTG